CTTTGTTTCTACTTCATTAATTTCTGCTCTGAGTTTCGTTATTTCTTCTCTTCTGCTGGGTTTGAGTTTCATTTGTTCTTGCCTTTCCAGCATCTTGAGTAGCAATGTTAAACTTCCCTCTTAGGACTGCTTTTAAAGTATCCCAGAGGTTGTGCTCTGTTGTATTGTCCTTTTCCTTGAATTCCAGAAATACTTTTATTTCTTTCTTAATTTCTCCTTTGACCCACTCATTGTTTAGGAGTGTGTCATTTAATCTCCATGAGGTCATGTAGTGACTAGTGCTTTGTCCAGTGTTGATTTTGAGCTTTATTGCATGTGGTCCAATAGAATACATTGGATGATTTCAATTTTTTTGTATTTGTTGAGGTTTGTTTTGTGGCCCAGTGTGTGGTCATTTTTTGAAAAAGTTCCATAGTGTGCTGAGTAGAAAGTGTATTCTTTGGTGCTTGGGTGGAATATTTGAAAGATGTCTGTTAGGTCCATTTGACATATAGTATCATTTAATTCAGATGTCTCTCTGTTTACTTATTGTTCAGTTGACCTGTATAATGGAGGCAGTGGGGTATTGAAGTCCCCTACTATTACTGAGTTGGGGTTAATCTGTGTCTTAAGGTCCTGTAGTGTTGTTTTTATGAATTTGGATGCACCAGAGTTTGGTGCATATATGTTAAGGATTGTAATATGTTCTTGGTTAACTTGTTCCTTTGATCAGAATGACATGACCTTCCTTATCTCTTCTGATTAGTTTTACTTTGAAGTCTATTTTGTCAGACATTAGGCTTACAAACCCTGCTTGTTTCTTAGTGCCATTTTCTCCAAATATTCTTTTCCATCCTTTTACCCTAAAGTAGTACCTGTCCTTGAAGGTGAGACAGGTTTCTTGCAGGCAGCAAAGAGATGGATTTTGTTCCTTAATCCACTCACTTAGCCTGTGCTTTTTGACTGGGGAGTTCAGTCCATTGATATTTAAGGTTATCGTTGAAAACTATGTATTGTTTGCTGTCATTCTGATTGCTGTTTGTGTTGTCAAATTTTGTGATTCCTCAATTACACCTTTATTTTCTTTCATGCCATTGCTTCTCTCCCTGCTCTCTGTATTGCTTCAAGTATTCTTTGAAAGGCTGGTTTTGTGGCCATGTATTCTTTCAGACTTTTCATATCATGGAAGCCTTTTCTTTCCCCCTCAACTATAATAGACATTTTTGATGAGTAGAGTATTCTGGGCTGGCATCTATTGTCATGTAGAACTGGAAATATCTTGGTCCAGGCTCTTCTGGCTTTCATAGTTTGCATTGATAAGTCACCTGTAATTCTCATGGGCTTTCCTTTGTATGTGACTTGTTTTCTTTTGCTGCTTTCAGTATTCTCTCTTTGTTCTGTACATTGTACATTTAGTGTTTTTACTATGATACATCATGGGGAGTTTCTTTTCTGATCCTGTCTATTTGATGTTCTATGTGCTTCCTATATTTGCATGAGGATGTCGTTCCTTAAATTCAGGAAATTCTCTTCTACAGCCCTGTTTAATATCTGGTCAATATCATTAAACTGAAATTCTTCTCCTTCCTCTCTTCCTATGATCTGTAGATTTAATCTTTTCATGGTATCCCACATCTCTTGTATATTCCATTCCTGTGTTTTTAAAAAATTTTCTGTAATCTTTGCTTGAGTGGTCCAATTCTTTAACTTTATCCTCCAGTGTTGATACTCTGTTTTCCATTTCATTCATTCTAGTGGTGAGGCTTTCCCCTGTTGTTTCAAGTTGGCTTATTGAGTTTTCCACATCCTTCTTCATTTCTGCCTGAGTTTTCCTCAATGTTTCTATCTCTTTTTTGAGTTCATACAGGCTTACCCCTATCTTCTTTTAGTTCTTTGATTTGTTTGTTCATGTGTTCTTTAAATTTGTTGAATTCCTTGATCATGTTCATGATTGTTCTTTTCAATTCAGTGTCCTGGGTTATCTCTAAGGGATTCTCATTGTAGATTTGTGCAAATCAAACCACATAAAGTTCCACCATGTGAGGCAAAGGTCCATCTGCTGAGATGCAGAGTCAGTTTTCTTTGGGTGTGACCCATGGCAGCCTGATCATGTCAGGTGATGAACCCAAACCCAATATGGACAATGCAAATTGGACTCAATGGGCTAAAACAACAACAAAAGGGACAAGAAGTTGAGTGGGTGGGAGGTGGTAGTGAATTCTGGAGGAGGGTATGATTAAAATACATTGTATGAAATTTTCAAAGAATCAAAAAATATTATGTAAAAAATATTTCTCAAGGAAAAACTATCTCTGAAAAGACTAATAAAATTAAAAGTGAAAACTATTTTAAATTAGTAAATAAAATATGTAGAACTGTCCTTTTTGCTCTTCTGGTTTCTCTGCTATAAGCTTTAAATTATTAAAAAAAATTAGAAGTTAGTCCCTAGCTTAAATCAGTCTTGTGTTTTAATATTCAGTATATTTTTCCTAAGGTTGATGAATCTTTCAGTAAACAAGTTGGAAGTATCCAAACAAAAATCCTAACACTTAGGTGAAATCATTTCAGAACATGTCAGACTTCTATGACGATCAGGCATGTGCTTTAAAAACTACATTTTTTTGTGAAAGTATTGAGGATATTTTGCTAAAGCATATGCTCAACAGTGTCACTGTTCCTTTAGACGGTTCTAGAGGTTATAAATTCACATTTCTGGTGACTAGAAAATTGTCCTGTATGGTCATGGATGAGACATTTTCCCCCCTCTGGGATAAACCAGAATTTAAGGTCCATTTCAGAGGAATGATTCAGAGCTGCCTTAGGGTTGGTGAATTTCAGCAATGAAATAGTCCACATATTGAAAGGAGGCTACTGGGGGTGAAACAAAAGAGAGGAGGGGAATGGTGAATAGGTGGAAAAGCGAGGTGGTACCTTTCCTTACCAAGGAAGGTAATCACTCCTTCCTGAATTATAGGAAGAATTGTCTATAATCTCCACCGTGTATTGGTTCTATTTTGAGCTGACATCCAGTAATAATAAAATCACTCCAACTCATATACATTTCTCTCTGGCTATTTCAGGATAATGTTAGAAATGTTTATCTTTTAAAAACTAATAAGAGGGGAGAAAAGAAAGACAAAAAAAAAGGAATAGAAACAAATCTCATGAGACTAGATACTTGATAATCTGTATCTTATGTCTGATAGTACCCTGTCTGAACAGTAAATTCCAATTTCTATCATTTACCTTGGTATTGTACAGATGAAAATTATTTTTTGCATAGATTTTGTAAACAATGAAATCATCTTTATAATTGCAGCACTAAATCCTTCAAAGAATTCCCACACATGGGCTACTATAAATCCTCTAATGTCTCAAGGTGTTAAGAATCACTGCTGATTTAACCTTCACTCAATTAATGGAATACAAACAATGTCCAGAGTGTTAAGACAAGTCATTATATAGAAGACAGTGTTTGCTTAATCCTGTAATGTCTTGTTTATACAAAGAAGATTTCATTTTCAAATATTCACACTTGTTTCTGGTTTTTGTCTTGGTCTGTGTCCAGCCTTTGTTGTCACAGATGAAAACTGTTCTGGTGGCTGCCATTGCTACAGTATTCACTCATCTGCTGCCAGTGCATATACGTGTGGTTTAAACACTGTGAAAATACAGACACTGTTTAGTTATATGAAAATGCAGCTATCCTCTGTATCTGAAGATTCTTTATTCTCAATGAACAAACACCTGTCATTTGTCCCTAAGATTTGAATCCTCCAGTTTACAAAATAGCAGTAATTATGTTCCAATTCTGACAGCCTAGTCAAATTCTGCATTTTATAGGTCTATACAAGTTTGAGAAACTTGAAATTGGAGTTGAAATCACTTTAGGTCTCAGGAGTCACTGACTTCCCTCCATTCTCACACTGTGATCCGTGACTTTGGCAGCTGTTACAGAACCCTGAGATCACTGTCAAAGGTGTCTGCTACTTGGAAATCATAAATCATTTTATTTTTTTTGAAATATAAATATAGAAACAAAGCTAGTCTAAATATTCCTAAACTTAAATATTAAGCCTTTGGACTAAGAATATTCTGGAAAATGTACGCCAATACACAATGTCCTCTTGTTTCTACTAGGTCTGACTGGCTTTCCACATGGGAGCACAGACCAGAATGAGAAGGTCTTTGTTGGAGAGCACAATGGGAGCATAGAGTGAGTTTCACAGAGGACGTTACTGCAGTAGCTCCTTTTGATCTTCAGAGTGCTCCCTCCAGCCCTAGTGCTGCCCCACTGGAGGAGCAGCATCTTCCAACAGGGCTCTCTAAATGCTCCTTGGTGTTCAGTGAGCTGAGCAGAAAACCAGGCTCAATTGTCAAAAGAAATTTGGAAAAATATCAGGATATAACAAAGCTGAGCAGGTTACAGGACTTTTCATTACCTAGAATATATTTTCAATGTGTAACTTGAAACTGCAGGAGAACACAGTGTATGGAAGGCTTCCAGATTTGTTTCCATGAATTGTCCTGAAAAATGATGATGATCTCCTTCCCTGTGCCCTGTAAGCTGGCTCATTGTTAAGGTTCATAGCTAGTAGAATCTTCTTTATGCAGGTAGTCATTCACAGTTCCCCGGAAATTCATTTCTCCCCATTTGGCACATCAGTGTACTCATGATTTAGAGGCCTGAGTCTCATTACCTAGCTCCTCCTCTTTGTATGCCAGGGACTGTGTCTGTTCTCATGAAAATTAAATCACCTTGAGATAATGAATATAAGTTAAAATGGTGTAACACTTATTAAGCCCAGAATTTCCAAGGGATCTGATAAATTCTTATGAGGGACTGATCCCATTTGTTTAGGATGTGTGTTGTTTATTTCAAAGATTATTCTGAAAATTAAAATGATCTTTATCCATTTGAGGATGGGTGGATTGGACTTAATAGTTTCTCAATATAACACTGTTTTTGAGTACCAGGAGAGTTACTCATAACACAAATTTACATTAAAAAATTCAAGCTATACAAAATCATGCAAGATTCTTTATTAGGCTTTACATTTTAATCACAGTTGGATATATCACTTGACAAGTCAGCAGACATGACATTCTAGGAAACATTTTACAACACTCCAAAGATATAACCACTGGGAACAGAGCAACTTACTCTGCAGTTAATAAGCATGTTGAGTAATTAAAGGAATCATTAAGGGATATAGTCTAAATGACTATTGGTCCTCTTTCCCAAAGGAATATTCTAGACAAGTAGCTACAACGGAAAGCACATGACCACGATTCACAGAGAGAGATTTTGCATCCAAATCCATTCTCTTTATTTAGGATAGAGACTGGGGTCACATATTGAAAGGATAATGATTCTTTCAGAATAAGCTACATGTTTTCTATGTATATCATTAAAACTAATGATTTGCTTATACTTAAGAAGTTAATGAAAGGAAAGTTGCATCAAAACTCCACTGTATTAGTGACTGTAGGAGTTGCTTAGCCATTGATGAAGCAGGTCTCTCTATTCTTGTTAATTTATGAGTTCTTCTGAGATATTTTCATCGCAACTGTCTTGAGCTCTGTGTATTCATAAATACCATGTTCACCCCTAGAAAGGAAAACAAAAATTATCTATAAACATGACTGTACAGCAATGTAAGTGAACTACAATCCCCAGTGATTTGGTCCAAGTTTGTTCTTGCTTATCTGACTATGGATAATGTAAAGTATTTCCTACATACAGAGTAGTTCAGACAGTTGCTATCTGAGTGTAGCTTATATGGCCTAATATAAATCCATTCAGGGGCAAAAACATCTTAAACATGTTTTTCATTATAAATAACTATATACTCGTTATTTTCACAGAAATGACCCATTTTAACACCATTCTACTTACCCATAAACACTAACTACCAAAACCACAATTCAACCCAACCAGAATTTTGCCTTACAAATAAGTATGGGAGGCCTAGTTCAACTTGCATTGTTCATTTACTTAGGAGGAGTAGAGCACATCAGCTGAAACGGGAAGTGCGTTTGCCCTCCGCATTGTTATAGCAGTGAGAGAGGCAGACAGCAACCTTGCATCCTCTTCATTCAAATGTGTTCTATTCTTTTGATGTTCTAATATTAACAATATTTTTGATACTGTGCAAAAGACTCTAATATTTCGTTGGCGGAGTTTTCTTTCCATTTCGGTTGCTTGAATTTTCTTGGTAGTAGAAAAGAGGTTAAAGATTGTCCCGATTCAGGCTTTTTGGGTGCTAGCATGTATTTACTTCCTTCTTTAATCAAACTTCTACTATTTACTTACAAAACCTTTAAGTCAACTCCAAATAACCATCAGTTATGATAAGTTCATCTGCGTGTACTCCTGTATCTTGTTATCAGAGTTATATCTCTGACCAATTTTGGAAAATATGATTTATTTATGTCTTGAGATTTAATCAAGAGGATTAGACTCAGTTATCTTTGTTGTTTTGATGAGATCAAATTACATGTATATAGGACTATTCTTAAAATCATATAGGTTTGCAGAGGAAAATGATCTTGATCCCCCTTTCCACACTTCCTATGATATAGAAGGGTATTTAGAGGGCGTCTTGCTACCTATTGCCTCTATACCATTTGGGGGGGGGTGAGGTAATTAAACATTTGAAAATTTCTCTTGAAAGCTTCAGTGAACATTTTCTTCAGAGTAACTAAATGGCTTATATTCAGCTGTTTAATTTCCATTAAATGATAATATTTTCATAAGTATTTTATGTCAAAGAGGAGCATAAATTAATCCACAATTTGACCAAGTTGCTTTCCATTGCATTTACAGTTACAGTTACAAGGGCACTTAACTCTCTTAGGAGGATTTTAAAGGTGGCTGTTTTCACAGTAAGGCAGACATATGTCATCATCTTAGAATTCTTGTGCAGAATGCAAAAGCATCTGCTTATATTTCTTGTCTGTTTATAAAATCTATGTGTTACTAGCAGTGTGCTTCTAAAACCTTCACTGTACAAAACACCTGGGCCCTTCACCAAATGCTGCTACTCCAGTGGATCTGTCTAGGTCTGAGATTGCATTTCTAGCAAATGTCCCCATGGTCCTCATGCTTCCCGGCACAGTGCACACCGTAAAACGGGGTGCATGTCAAATTATGTCTGCTTCTCCCTCTGTGTCAAGAAATCGGCCTTAACTAAGGCTTGGGGAAATGTTTACTGAACTGAGTTCACAAACATACTCAAGTAAAATAAAAATTGATTTGAGTTCCTGCTATAAACCCAATGTTTTAGATACTTTTTTGTTCCCAATTTTAAGTGACGTGAAGAAAAAAGTGCCTTGTGAAGTAGAGAGAGCAACTGAACTTGTGTGTCCTCAAGTGCCTGAGGCTAGCCAATGCGAGAATAAGGAACATTACACAAAGAGCTAGACTTTTGCCACTTAACACAGGGCCAACACTGTGATCAGAGATTAAGAGATCAAGATGCAGGTTCCCTACATCACCACTGAACACCTAGGGGTGTATATACTATTTTTGGCCCTTTGGGAACCCTGCTTCCTACTGGTTAATTTTGCTTTTCTATTTTGAGGATAAACTAAAATCTAACTCCTGGGAATTGTTAGAAATTACCACTTTAGTCATTCTTCAGAAAATGCCCTGGTTAATAAATTATTAGGTAGACTTCACCAGTGGCATATTAGTTTGGGAAAAGACAACTATTAATTTATGTAAGAGGTATAGTCAACTACCTAAAGCGTTTGCATATTTATTTGTACTTATCTCACAATCACCAGTTTGCACTTTGTACTCAATTGATTATATTCACATATATACAATAAGCAAGCAATCATAAAAGCAGGCAGTAACCCAGTTACCAAGACAGACTTGGCATGGTCCTTTATGAATAGTAAGTGTTAATAAATTATAGTCTTCTGCTATTGCTTTTCTGCATTTAGAGGGTACTTTTAGCATGCAAGATGCTATTTGGTAGTGGGAAACTCCCTTAAAGAACAAAGGTAGATTTTATTTGTTAATGAAATGCATCAATTTTCTGGAGTGACAATCCATTTTAGAAAATATGTATTTATTGTAATACATAATTTTACTTACATCTCTCGTCCATTTCCAGACATCTTGAATCCACCGAAGGGGCACTGGGCAGATAAAACCATATAGCAATTCACCCTTAAAAAACAGAGAAGTGCGTTATAGATAATACTTATCACATAATTCCCAAACTGGAAATTCAAAAATTCAGGGATTTCTTTAGGAGCACCATTTTAAAATAAAATATACTCACTGAGATAGAAATAATTCCATAGTTCAGATTGAAGAAAATATGCACAAATATTATAGAAAAAAATAGTGAAATTATGTGTGTGACTGGTCATAAAAAAGTGTTAGTCTTAATTATAACAGAGGGAATAGTCAATATGCTATAAAATAGTGTCAAACTGCTGAAGGCGGTGGGTCATGTGGTGTTCTCTACTAAAGAAAGCTTATGCAGTGAGCTTTATAATGCTCTTGAGGTTTATGCACTTAGTAGGTTAAAATCAACTTTCTTTAGCCATTACAGTGTGCATCATGATATTCAGCTCATTTGTTTTATTAGTTGGTCAACACATTGTTAAACAGAAGTGCTGGCAGAAATCGGACCTGATTATCAATTTGTCAGTTTTCATAACAAAAATGTTAAAGATGTTTATACAAAGAAACACAATTATAAAAATGTGAATAGAATTACAGAGAAAGTCAACAGAAGGTCAGGGCAAGGGGGAGGGGCCATTAGAGTGCAGGTTTTTACTTGGACAACTTTCTTAATGTTAAAGTAGAAATGGTAATATTTGTTAGGGCTGTTTTGGACCTCTGTCACATGATGTATAGAATGTTCTAGTGAAGTGCTTGGTATACATTAAGTCTTTAGTAAATGTAGATGACATACATATATGTACATATTGGAATACTGAATTGTATTAACAATTTTATCATCAGAAAGTCTATATTAATATAGATTAATAATAGATTAATTTATTGACAAGATGAAAACAATTTTATTTGATTAAGAGTCTTTGAAAAGATGTCATAATCAAAACAAAAAATTAGCTTCTTATCTCTAGTGCTTAATGAGAAATATATGTTAACATTTATGAGAGTTTTAAAAAGTACACTTTAACAAAAGAGCTATGCCGAGAGTCAGTCACTCATATATAATTACGATGTTTGATTAACATCTTTCTTGTTACAAATTAGAATTTACTTATTTATTATTTATTTATTTAGTGTGTGGTGCATGAATGTACACATGTTTACGTGGACACATGCAAACTTGCATGTGCGTGGCTTGGAGACCACAGATTGATTTCGTGTGTCTTTTTCAGTTTCTCTCCATTTTACTTTTTGAGGTAGGGAAGTATTCTTTATCTGAAATTCAAGGGTCCAGAAATATTTCAATTTTGGAGTTTTTTAGATTATGGAATATTCAGATAGATTTGAAATGGCAAAATTTGAAATGATAAAATATCCAAACATTTTAGAGCACTGTATTGATGAATTTCAGTGTATCTCTGATTTGGGGTTTTTCACATCAGGAGGCTGCAATGTACTAACACAGGGCAAGGCAACAGTTTGAGAGGAAAACCCTGAGAATTCACATCTTCCAAACTAAAGTATAAAAATAAAAGCTACAAACTAGGTTAAGAGCAAAAGAAACATACTCCTCAAAATTCATTATGTTCTTCTAAATTATGAACTTCAAACATTGCTAATAATATCAGAGTAAGAATCTAAGTATTAAGTACCATGAGGCCAGTGACTTGGCTCATCAGACATAGACACTTGCTGTCAAACCTGACATTCTGAGTTCAATTCTCAGAACCCACATGGTAGAAGGAGAGAAGCAACTCCCTCATGACATTTGACCTCCACATGGGCATTCTGTCATGTGCTCCCTCATAAACTAATAAAAATATTAAAAAAATTTTTTAAACAGAACTAAGCACCACCATGCCTATGGATGCACACCTGTAATATCAGGTACTCAGGAGCCTGAAGCAGGAGGATTGCAAGCTCATGACCATTGTGGGTCACAAAGTGAGGTCAGAGCTGGACTGAGGACCTTAGTGAGTCCCTGCCTCACATTAAAAGCAGAAACAGGGCTTCAGATATAACTCAGATAGAGAACTTGGCTAGGTTGTACAAGGCTCTGTGTTCAATATCCATCATGAAAAATGAATACTAATAATCACAATAACAACATTGTGCATACATAAGATACAAAATAAACATTGTTGAAAGGAATTAAACTTGAGTTTAAAAGAATTTTTCTTACTCTCCATTGTAGATAGCACAGTGCAAAGACCTTGAAATCATCCAGCAACACTTACAGTGATGCATCAAACATCTACAAAATGTTTTGGCTAAGTAACTTGAAAAAGTTGGATACATTTACTTTGGTTTTTAAATTGCTTTAGACAACTACTTTTTTGGCAGGTCATAGGATTTCAAATGAAAATTCAGGTCTTACAGAGATCAAATCAGGCCGTGGATGTGGCTGATACTGAAAGGGCATGTCTTACTCAGATGTACTTACCACACCACCCCAGCCTGCAGAGCAGAAGAGATGGTTATGGCCTTATCAAGGTCTTTCGTAAAGACCCCTGCTGCTAGGCCATATGTAGTGTTGTTCGCTCTCTTGATGACATCATCTAGAGATTTAAACTTCATGATTTGCTGCACTGGTCCAAATATCTACACAAGAATAATACAAATAAAGGTTAAAACTAAGTATTCAAAAATATACTATATATGTTTCTCTCTGTGAAGTATTCTACATTGACTAAGGTGTTTCCGCTCATGTCAGCTCTATGTGCAAAAATGAAAATAGGTAGCCACAGAGTGAGCAAGTGCGCAATTCTCTATGGAACCAGAGAGGATACAAAGCATTAAGGCAGGATTTATTCTTCGAAGCTGCAATAGAGCTGCCAATGCTTAATGAGTCAGCATCAAACCGTTAACTTTCTTTGGAAACATTTTAAATTCTAACCCCAGTTTTCTTCATGTTTCAAGTACTGCACCTAGCACCAAGTCTAAAAAAGCAAAGTTGTGTTCTACTAGCTGAGCAGGCAGTGATTACAGCAGTGTTCATGCTTTAGATGTCAGTACTTGGGCCTTTACATAATTGGAACAATCATGCACTCAGACATCTTTTTATTTGGATTCTAACAGTCACCAAATTTTATACAGCATACACCAAAGAAAACGACTCATTGCTAGAAGAGCTTCTATCCGGAACCACCCTCCACTAACCAAAGCCTGGGTTCCCTTCCCCTGGCAATGGCCACAAACACAGGCCAGGGAATAACACAATTTATCTACTCAGTGCAACACAGTCTTTCACTTCTATAGACTCTAGTTAGTAAGTCCATATCCAGGTCAGTTGACAGCTCAACCCAGATCAAATGAAAGTAAATGGATTTTCTCTTAAAAAATCAAGTTTCTGTATTCTGATAAACATTTATTAAAAGAAAAAGAAAAAGAATCTCCCCAGAATGTTGTAGACTTCCTGGGAAATAGGAATGCATGTTGGCAAAAACTCAGAAGTGTCAAACGGTTTTCTGGTGTTCCCCATTAATTTAAGTGGTATTGGGCCAATTAGCTGCCATTCGCTACAGGCTGGGGGTAAATCCCAAGATTCTAAACGTCACCTTGACATTGTAACCTTGGAACTAGGTGTGTAGCAGCTACTGTGATAGACTTGCTCCTCCTAATCACAGCATTTCAGTTGAGCACATAGTAGTCAGTGCTCCAGTTTCCTGCTTTAAAGTGTCAAGTGACTTAGTCTGGTATGACTATTACAAACAATAAATGTTTCCTTGATTGAAATTATTTCACCATTTTATTGTCCTTCTCAACTGTTTAATCAAGATATATAAGAACAACAGCTCTAAAAACAAGACCAACAGCTCTAATCAGACAGGAACTGACCAATAAATGCTGAAATTAGAATTCAGTTGAAGTGAACTGACATAGAGAAGCTAAGTATGTTGAATGATTCATGGATATTTGCTTTTATTTTTTCTGTTCCTGCTTATTTCCTCTAGCAAAGCTGATGAAGCCCTTTTGTCTTGCTTTGATGACACCGAGGAGCTGAAGAAAACAATCTGAGATCCTCTGTCAAACCATGAACATGAAATATAAATTTAATGGAGAGTTTTAATTCTCTGCCTTCAAGACACTTCTTACTATAGTGTATTACACAGCATTTTTATTCTCCAAGGACAGTGACGTATCGCTGCATGTATTCAAAGCCTTCAGAATGCATGAGGCATATTGGCTACCATTTTAAATGCAAACTAGTTCCTCTTAGTTAAATGTGGTACCTCTGTGTTACATCTTCACTGATGTGATTTGTTTGTGCTTCCCACACTCCCGCCACACTCCCACACAAAGCCATCCTACTGTCTCTATGAGTTTGACTTTTTATGTTCTTCATATAACTCAGATCACTCATTATATGCGTTTCTGTGCCTGGCATATGTAACAATGAGCAATGTGCACATCTATTCCCGTTCTTACAAATGACAGGATCCTTTTCCATCTCTTTAAAGCCCTGAAGACCCTATCAAAGCTGTTAAGCCCCTTGTTCTGTGTCTGTTTAGAAATTCTTTTCCGTTTCATTGCGTTCCCCAGTGTTTCTTCTTTACACAAGGGACTTTAATTCTTTATCAAGCACTGCTTGAGATAGCTGTTCAAACTGCTAAGAGTTTTAGAGGATCAGATAGTTCTGCATAGAGACAGAAGGGCAACCAAAGTGCCAGAACCAAGTGGGACCACTTACCTCCTCTTTGGCAATGCGCATCTCATCAGTGACATTGGAGAAAACTGTGGGCTGGACAAAGTAGCCTTTGTTCCCCCAGCGTCCACCCCCACACTCCAGTTTGGCCCCTTCTTTCTTCCCACTCTCAATGAGGTCAAGTATTTTATCATGTTGTTCCTTGTCAATCTGGTTGAAAAATAGTACAGGAAAAATGAAAAACTGACATCTAATAACGATAACATTCTTTCGGTGAATTTTCAGGAAGGAACCTTAAAGTTACTTAAATTTAGTAGAGCTACATGAGGCAGCAATTGACACCATGGGAATATACAGAGCAGCTACAGAAAGGTCATTTGAAGAAATTGTATTCATCATTTAACGCATTTGCCTGGAAGTTGCAGACCTCACTGAAGTAGACGGGGTGAAAGAAGAAAGCAGGCTTCATTCCGGCTTTCCAAGTTACCCATGTGGCAGATTCTGAGAGGCCAGGATCCGCCCTTGAGGTAGCAGTGCCAACTTTTAGTTAATCAAATTTAGTTTTTACCTAGTAAATAAGTCAAGGATAAGGTTTAGTTCCAGTGCAACAGTTAAGAACAGTGAATCTACTTAAATTGAATGAGGGTGAAAGCTCCAAGGTTAATGTCCAGTCTCTAGGACATAGCTCTCTGTAGTCGTTCTGGCAGTTGGGGACAGTGAACTCTTTATTGTGGAACTTTGTTTATTGTAAGATGTTTAGCAGCAATCTTTTCCTCCACTCATTAAATGCAGGTAGGACCACAACCTTCTTACTTATGACAACTTAATCTGTCTCCAGACATGGCTAAATTTCTCTCATAGAAAAAGAACAAAACTGCCCCTGGCTGAGGATCAGTGTTTTAGATTTGAGTCCAGAGCTAGCCAAACTCAGAATCAAAAGTCCAGGAGCTTGAACAATAGGTGTGCAGGAAGGAACAGTGACCTTTGAATGAGAGAGATACAGATACTTAATTATTCTAACTTCACAGGAGAAGCCCGAGAGTCCTAGTAGAATGACTGGGCTTGAACAACTAAACTGGGACGTTTGTCAGAATTCCAGAAAGCAGGGCCAATGAGGATGCTTATGCTAACACTGGGTCACAGAAACTAAGGATTCTGCAGAAGACTTAGGTTCTTTTGTTTATACCTGTGGAATGGCACCCCAGATGGACTGACTCTGAAGAATAAATGACAGCACTACTTTCCATATATAATTCCTAGCATAGCTCCTAAACTGCTTCTAGATAGGAAAAATGAACAACACAAAACCGGAATGATTTCTTTCACTTTGAAAATTAGATTCTTTGAATAAGCAAATGAAGATAATTATATCAACCGGAAAAGGACACGATAGGAAATAAAGATTACTTGGTCAAGAATCTTTGTTCTTGTGTCTGAAACCTTTGTCTTCTATTTTGTACTCACCTGAGGGCCTTGGGTGATTCCTGAATTCAGAGGATTTCCAAGAACATATTTCTTAGCCCGCTCCACACTCCTCCGCACAAACTCATCGTAAATTGACTCCTCAACAAAGAGCCTGGATGCAGCCACACAACATTGGCCCTGGTGATAGAACAGTCCTTGGTGTGCAAACTCAATGGCACTGTCCACTGCAGAGGAAGTGTTCATATTAGAGAAGTGTTATTTTCTAAAGGATATTTTCTAAAAGATACACACATACACACACACACACACGTGTGTGTGTGTGTGTGTATGCTGTAGAGATGGCTCAGTGGTAAATAGCACTTGCTGCTCTTGCACTGTCCTGGAGTTTGGTTCCCAGTACTCATGTGTGGTGGCTCACAACTACCTGTAACTTCAGCTATCTTCTGGCCTCTATAGGTACCCACATTCATATCCTCATACCCACACACAGACACACATATACAAGAGTAAATATAAAATAAATCTTTTAAATATATAAAATAAATTCATGTTTTTCAGATGCAATATGATTAAATAGAAAGATGATGAATCATCTAGTCCAACATAGATTCAATATATTCCACCTATTAGAAGCTAGATGACAAATTAATCTTGCTGATAACTAACACGGAAATAACATCAAGGATGATCTGAAAAGCTGGTACCTATTATAGTTTTAGTATAGTTATTACCAAGAATGTAGATTTGATTGTACGATCAAATATCATTGCAAATACCTTTATAACTACTTCTATTTAGAATTACGTGCATGATTGCTAATATTTATATTAACTTGGCAGATTTTAGTTAGATAACAACAGGAATCTGGAACTAACAATTTGTAGGAATGACTTTTATTAATAGACATAATCTGGACTAATTAATTTTTAAAAAATTTATTAATTTGTTTATTTTTACTTTATATGTATGAGTGTATTGCCTCCACATGTGTAAGCACACCCAGTTGTGCAGTGCCTGTGGAGGTCAGAAGAGGTGTAATTGGAGTTACAGACAGTTGTTAGCAGCTCTGTGGGTTCTGGGAATCGAACCCTGGTCTTCTATAAGAACAGACAGTGTTTGTAACTGCTGAGCCATCTCTACAGTCCCTGGACTTAACACTTTTAATTAACCCCAGCAAAACCAGGATGACTCCTTGGCAACCTCAGTTTTGTACTCCACCCTAAAGGTAATGAATAAATGTGGGTACACGTGCGAATGAACATATTAAAGTGCTGCAAACAGTACCCACCCACTGGAAACAGTGGGGACTGGGAAGAATGTGTGACATAAGATGCGTGATATACTAGGGATGGAGAGCCAGAGGGTCCATTGAGATAAGACTGGAGCCTAACTTAAACTTTGTGCATCCCCAAAGAGGCTAGAGAAAAGTTTTGGAATAAATACGTGAGTGTAGCCTGACGCATCAATACAGTCCTCTGGGTTCAAGCCCACTCTTAAAAACTTATTTTAAGGCTCGGGCTTTTATTTTGTTCAAGGTAGTTGTAATATTGGCATTATTAATAATGTCTTCATCAATTGCCTTGAATAATTTCAAAACATTCTTAAAAACTTTGATGAGCAGGAAGAGTTACCTTTTCGAAAATAACAATAAAATAATTCAAATGTTCAGAGTTATTATTCCACCTTGTAAATCTTACTCTTGGAAAGACATTTCCAAAATCTATCTAAACATATGTTACATACACCTATAAACTCTTTGCTTAGTTTAGATGGTAGAGCGTGCCTAAATTATTTTGGAGAAATTTTTAATATAAACAAAAGAAAGGGTTTTTGCATGTGTTTCAATTTTGCAAATGAGGAAAATTTAATTCAAGATTTTAGAAACTGGGTATGAATCTGTGAGCTAATATTAGATGTCTAAGTTGTAGTGAGTCCACTTTACAGATGAGTTGGTTGGCTAGGACTCTTGTCATGTTTATGTGATGCCTAATCAATAGTAAGTTCTAAATCTCCAGCTAAGATCAAAATAGCAGCAGCAGTAGCAAATTTTCATGAGCTATTGGGATTTATAGTCACATTGTGATTATGCAATCATTGAAGAAGAAAGGGTTAAAGGAGCATTCAACCATTAATATTGCCTAATTAACTCCTACTTAGAAAGTAATCTGAGTATTTCATTTGGTAATTTAAACAGAATTAACCTAGAACATTACGTGTGGGGTCATTTCAAAATTACAAACTTTTAATATACATATGGACTTTGCTATCGTTAACAGAAAAATTAGTAATTATTAAAATATGATTAATTTTCCTCTGGCAATTTCCTTTTAGGAATGAAAGGTGCACAGGGAAAGTAGACGGCAAATAAGAAACTGTCTCCTAGGCTGGGCTTGGCCCAACATGTCTCATTTCTCTCACTATCCCCAATGCAAGTACAGATATGGGGTTATGACAAAATATTCTTCAGAGGTCTTGGGGCTGGAGAGATGACTCACTGGGTTAAGAGCACTGACTGCTCTAGCAGAGGATCCAGGTTTGATTTCCAGCACCCACATGGTGGTTAACAACTGTCCATAACTCCAGTTCCAAGGGAATTGCACAACATGGGTGCGTTTACATGCAGGCAATACACTCATACACATAAAATAAAAATAGTAAGTAAAATATATTTTTTTAGAAAAAAAGCTTTTCCAGAGTCAGTGTGGACTCTCATTAATTCCTTACAACTTAAGGCAAAGCCACTTGGAAGAGTCAAGTTCACTGTGTGTGACGTTATCAGACATCAGAAAGGAGGTGAGAAGCTCACAGAGAGTGTGTACTCACAGTCCGCATCAGCGAACACGATGCAAGGGCTCTTTCCTCCAAGCTCCAGGGTGACCCTCTTCAGATTGCTTTTCCCAGCAGCTTCCTTGATTAATTTGCCAACCTGTGTTCAAACGTTGAGAAGGAGGAGGTTTAGCCTGCTCTCATGAAGACAGGTTCATTTAATATTTTCAATATTGTGATGTTTATGCCATCACCCAAATTTCATTCGGAAAAAATATTAAATGGTGTTATTCAATATCTGGCACCTTCAGATCTAAGGGGCTCCCCCATCAAGTCTGCAAACATGAGATCAATTAGAAAATGCTCTGAGCAACAAGCAGACACTTCAAATGTGACAGCTCACTTCTGTGTGGGGGCAGACAAGGGACTATCTTTCATTTTCATCAGAACTTTATCTCTGTATGGATCAGATACACCAGGACTCAGTCACAACTCCCCTGACTTCTCATCCCTCTCCTGACATTCAGAGCATTAACTCTTCT